TATAAATCAAGGGAACTGAGCTCCTGATAACATCCATCATTTTCCCAGCAACCTCTAGTTTGATTGTGGTGAATTTTGAGTTTGAACCCAGGCAGTCCAGCTATAAGAACCACGCTATTAGACACAAACTTATACTCCATCTCAAAATGGAGTTTTCACATCTCAGAACCCAGGTGTTCAGAGCCTGAGCAAGACACCATGAGGCCAAGCACTGCTGCACCCATCGGGATCATCACGATAGCTGTCTTCTCCAACTGGATGCCAGCACCAGATCAGAGTCAACTGAGAGTCATTCGTGATGCTCTCGTTCTAGAAACTGCCTCCATCTCAAGTGCAGGAGGAAGCTGTTCTGAGGAGGACGTTCCTTCCTGGAACAAGAACCCTTAGAGAGATTTAGCCCTTACATACCTCCATCTGAAAAGCTAAGCTTTTCTCTGCGAGTCTGAATTGCAGGTTAGGGATGATTGCTCAGAGGGGGAAAGTGTGAAATGGTAATCACTTTCATATGACACTTGAGAAATGTTATAATAAAGCTGAGTAAATTGGAGCATGAGTTAGCCAGTCCTTTGCCTAATGATGTCACCCACTTTGTGCTTCCTCCAGCCTATGATTAATAAAAGGGGGTTATTACAGTAACTCACTCCTAGTGGGCAGCAGTGACGTCAGCAGCAGCTGAGCAAACTGACTACATTTAGTCGTGCGTGTGTATGTGGGCATTTTTTTTCCTGTGACTAACATGAAGCTAACAGCATCTAATAAAACAAAAGCTCCTTGAAAGTTGGAGAACTTATTGGGTGAACTCTTTTCTGCAGGGAGCACCATTTTAATTATTCTCGTTTGGAGTTGGCCAAAATGACATTATTGGCTTTCTGCCCCTGTTTCATTAAATGATCCCAAATTAACCCCTGGCCTTTGGGAGAGAGGTTTTCTGGAGTGTTTTCCCCTTCTAGTATAATGGTTCTTCCTTCGTTCATCATTCTATCCCATCTTTCCAGAGAAACTCAGTAAGTCTTATGACAAGGGACTGTGGCCATAAGTTATTTTTTTTTGAAAGTTTAAGACTGGTTGTAGAATTCAGTGATTCCAGTTAAACTCCACCAGTATATTGTACTTTGCTTTTCCAGGCTGAGTAAGATTGACAGAAGTCCTGCCTGCAATTTCACCTTTGCAAACTTGACCTTCCTAAAATTAGAGTGAGGCACCTGGAAATATTTACTAACCTGCTGCCAGGGTGTGCTGTCAGAGTGTGTACTCGAGTTCATAGTACCTATGGACAGCAGTACTGGGTCCTGAGACCTGGATGTGACTGGGAGCTGCTCCCACAGAGGGGCAGAACCTTTGGACTCTTTCTATCAGGACACGAGGGAGGCAGCAATTCACTGTTTAAAAAAATGCACACAGGACTGCCTCCGGCTTTCCTATTGGCTTTTGCCCTCTGCAGCTATGATTTGGGAACAGGTCGAGGGGGTATCTGTGGATAAGCAAAACTGGATTAGAATCAAGGTTTCTGCTCTCTTATCAGTCCACTGGAAACTATACACTAAGCCTCTGTGTCCTCATCAGCAACATGGAACTTACTACTCGAGGGGATACAGGTGAGGAAAGTGATTGTGACACTGTCTTATATGTTCCTTTGGGAATATTGTTCAGTAATCTTCTAGGGGAACAGGAAGATCAATTGCTGTAGCAGATGTTCCCTGACTGGGTTAGGAATGAGTTACGACAAACAATTTAGAAATATGTTGGTCAGGATGAACTTTGAGGGGGCATATTTATTCGGTTTGGGTTAGTGTGTTGTTTTTTGTTTTTGTTTTTTTTTGTTTTTTGGGTTTTTTTTGTCAATGTATGGTTATCTATAGAGGTTTAAGTGATTACTGAGTTTTTTACATGGACTAAATGGTTACTTTTTGGGAAGAGATCCAGGCATTTCTGAATCATTTGGAAGTTGATTGAGGCCTTTGGTTCCAAAATGACCATTTACCTGAGGGGACTGTGATTCATATCTTGAAGGAGATGACATGGCGTCGGAGTGTCTAAGACATTCCCCTGGTGGCTCTGTTCATCTTAAAATGACCTCTGACCTACCTTCTCCTTTCCGGATGACCTAGGTCACTCGGGGCTAAGCGATGAACCGGGAAAGTTGGTTTTCATTTCACATGTAAGCTATTTTTATCCAGTTTATTATTATAGTATTTTCCCTGATGTGGGATCCTTCACAGTAATTTCCCTAGTCCTCCCAGGAGAGCAATACCTGGAGGGGCACAGCCGGCTTGCCTTTCACAGCCTTACTACTTCCTTGGGAAAAGGAAGTTTGGAGGATGAAGGCTGCTTGGAACAGCATTAGGATTTAGCAGAGAACTCTGCTTTATCTCTTTGGATATTGATTGTCATTCCCCTAAGGTATGAAACAAATAAAATCACGCTACATCACATTTTTTGTTCTTGTTGTTAGGGGAAAGACATGGTAATCTCATATTCGTGAATTTTACTTCAGGGAATTCTCTCTTTATGGATTTATCTGATACTGAATTGCTAAAATTAAGAACCCAATTCTTCATTTATTTACTCTTTCACCTGAGTCTGTTGCCTCCGAACAACTTGGATGTGCACTAGCTCATCAACTTTTGTTGCTGGTCACCAAAATTCTGCATTTAGTTAAAACCAAAAGCCAGCAGGAAATGCACTGGGACCATACTAGAAAGTTGATTGGAACAAAAATGTTGCCTGCAAGGAACTGTGATATCTGTAGCCTGGCATGGTGCTCTGGTAAGCTATGTGTGAGGAAGCAGGGACACTGGAATCATCAATATTTTGCATAACTGTAATAATTTTAGATATTACAACTTGGGTTTTCAAGCCCTCTTGGAACATAGATGGGAAGGAAATTGGGTGAAACTGTAAAATTATAACTCTAACTCAGGATTTCTCAACAGCAGAACAGTGGGTATTTAAGCTAGATAATTTCTCTGTTGTGGGGACTGTCCTGTGCATTGTAGGATTTTTAGCAGCGTTTATTTACTAGATGCTAATAGCACCTCCCTCCCATTGCAACAAACCCAAATGCCTTCAACAATTGTCATATGGTCCCTGGGGAGCAGGGATAGGGAGAACCTGAAGTTGAGGACCACTGCTCTGGAATGAAGGAAAACAGTTTACTCATTGGTGATTGTTCTTCTTCTCCTCTTCCTCCTTCTCTTCTCTGTCTTCTTTTTCTTTCCCTATTTGTTTTAGTTCTAGCTGGGTTCCCTGATCAGAGTCTAGCACTTCAATAATCTGAAAACAGGCACTCTATAAAATGGACCACGAGGCTTTGGGGGATATTCTGGTGGTTCTAAGAAAAATGTGAAGCTTAGGAACCATCAAGTTTGGGGTTAATTATTTCTGACCTTGCTGTTTTCAATGAATTTCAGAGGGATTTGAACATTTCCTTCTCCCCCTCTGTTTTGAACTATTAAATCACTGATTTTTACCTGAAAGCCAGACAGCCTCTAAGTTTGTGATTTGGGTCCATCCTTACCCCAAATCTTTCTGCCTCATATTTGGCCCAAGCTATGTGTAGGCTGTGTCTGTCCAAAAAACAGAAGGGTCTACCGATCGCATATTCGACTTCAACCATTTGATGAGACCCTTAGTCACCAACTCCCTCAACTAACTGCAGCAAATACCATCCTGGATCCTGCCCACGTTTTCTGGATTCTGAGCTGCCTCTTGAGGGAGTCACCACCACTCTCCAACAAGGCCAGGCTTTCCTGCCCGAGAGCCCAGAATAACACTCAGCTGCTGAGAACACCTCTTGAGTCCTTTTGATTTCTCTCCACAGTCACGTTTCATGTTCAGTTTCCCAGACTGGGTGAAACAGAAATCAGGCTTCTTTGGAAACAGATTTTTTTCATCAGAGGAACTAAAAACACCCTGACTCTTCAGCAGCCTTGTCCGTCCTCTGAACCCCCAGCCTGTGTCATTTAGCTGAATCAGAGGACAACTTCCCTGTCACCTGCTTGGGCTGTGCACGTCTCCTGGCTTGTGTTTTGTGACTGAATCACAGTGATCCGTGAGCAGCAGCTAAAATAACAGAGCTGTGAAAGTGCCCCCCCTTCTCCAGGCCTGTCTCCTTGTTCCAGGAGACCAATTAATAGCCTGGATGAAAGCCGAAGGACATACGGTTTGCTTGAGAAGAAAAGTGAACATTCTTGCTTTCTGATCTATGCCAACTTTATATGGGGACAGATGCTGCCCAGGGTAAACACCACTATGGGATAGGGTTAGCTGTGCCCCTAAGGTACAGTGTCACCATAAGCCACAGGCCAGCACCCGATCGCCATTCTCTTCTCCATTTGCACAATTGAGCTCTTATCCTCAAACGAACTTTGTTTTTGACCAGCTCACTAATTGTGATTGAAAACACCAGCTCCCCATCAATGCACAAGCATTGGAGATAGCAGCAGCAAGACAGGCCCTAATTGCTCCATTTACATAAAAGTAGAAACATACAACTTCTAAATATAAATCTTTGGCACATCGTTCCTTTTGCAATTACAGTAAAAGAAGGTACCAATTTCCCCTCCCGGCTCCTTGCTCCTCGCAGCAAGCTGCTCCACCGGTTCGCTAGTGGCGGCTCCTCCAGGCGAGCACAGAGAGCCATGCAAATGCTCCAGTGTGTAGTTTGCGAGCTTTGTGAAGTCGCCAGAAAATCAGACCGCCTCCGCTAGGTGAAAGCGCGGTGCAGGGCCACTCTGCTACTGCACTAGCTGGTGGGACCGACTCCACACTCAGAAAGGGGACAGGGTGCGGGTGCGGTGCGGGTGCGCTCCTCGACTCGCCAGTGTCCGCCGGGGAGCCCGCGGGCCCCACTGCAGGTCCCCCCGCCCCACACCCCCACGCTCCCTGACATTTGCTGGGGTTCCAAGTCCCTGGCCACTGAAAGCTGGGTTTAGAGACTGTCAGCTGCACTCACTGAACAGTGATTTTTTTTTTCCTTTTCCCCTCCCTGAATTCTTTAGCTGCCAAAAGGGGGGAAAAATCAAGAGCTGCTCTTAAAAGAAGTTGCCCTTGCTGGTGCTCAGGGTAAAAATAGAGGCGGCCGCTCGGAACGGCTTGGCCCTGACTCCAGGCATCCCGGGAGCTGGGCTGGAGCAGCGCGTTCCGGCGTGATCACGGGAGCTGCCAGCAGGTGTTGCTCAAGGTACAGTAGCAGGGCCGAGGACCGGACCGCCCGCAGGGCCTGGGTGCGGGGACGCTCCGGGGAGGGGGCAGGAAGCGAAAGAGAAACCGAGCCGACCAGCTCACGCCCTGGGCCCTGCAGTCCACCAGGGAAAAACCTAATTCCCAGTCCAGAATATTACACAGGAGCTATATGTTTTAACCTGCCTGCTTCCTCTAGCACCCCCACCTTGATTTCCATTCAGGTTCAGCTCTGAGGAAGGGGAGCCAGGTAGAGAATTCCACCATAGATGGGCACTTCTATGGCATCAGATGACCAACGTGGTCTCAGAGTCACAAGTGTGGGGTGGCCCCTTGAGTCAGGGTGCTGCACATGTGTGTGACACAGATGTTTAAAAAAAAAAAAAGCAAAACAAAACACCAGGCTGTTCAGAAATAACATCACATGTTCTTTTCTGAGCACCGAGTTTGACCCTGCATTTTAGTCAAATGGATCTATTTTATAGATGGGAACACTGAGGGCTGAGTTTACACGCTGAGGAAACTGTGGAACTGGGGTTTTGTACTTTGGGGGACATGGTGGTACTTTCAAGGTTCATTGCCTGAGGCAGGTGACTAAGTTTAGATGCCCCAATAAAGAAGTTCCTTTCCTATAAGGGATTTGAGTTCATCAGATTCCAAACAGAGGGGGCAGGTTGGAGTTCACCATCACTGATCCTATTTTTGTGTTTGCCACTCAGATTCCCTCTTCCTCTACAACCAAATGACTTTATTCCTTGCTTCATTTCTGCATATGCAGTTCTTAGAATACTCCTCTCCCTCCTCCCCCCCCACATACTGTAGCACCCACACTTTGTCTGTATCTAGCCAAGAAAGACCCTCTCACACAGACAACTTCTGCTGTCCTAAAGGAACCTGCTTTAACCACACATCAGGAGGCCAGAGCCTCTATATTTTGCTTGTGGGCACAGTGAAAAGTTTATTTTATGCATGTTAAATCCTGCATACAAAACAACATATCTGGTCATATGGCTTTCATTAGCTCCCAATTTTGCACATTTTATCCAACTTGTCATGAGAAACCAGCTTGTGCTTCAGCTATACTCCTTCAAACAGTCCTTTCTATGATGCTTCTCTGATGACTGCTGCCTGCTGGGTTATTTCCTAAACTTGCCAGTGTCCCCCCTCCCCCCCAAAACTCCAAACCTAACTTCACCCCTATTTCAAGGAATAATCACTTCTATTCACTGATCTCATATTATATTTGTAATAATTTAGAAACTGAAGGATTTGAAATTCTGGTAAAAGAGGTGGTGCTTTCTTTCTTCTTTTTTTTTTTTTTAGTTTGGTTTGGTTGTTTGCTTTTTGTTTTGTTTTGTTTTATTTTGCAAGTTAGCATGGGATTCTAAAGACCTGGGAAGGATACTTATGACATACTTGCAGAGAAGGACCATTTCCCAAGTTCTTGGTGATAAATGATTTATGAAGCAGGCATTCAATTTCAAGATGTAAAATAATAGTGTGAGTCAGAGAAGGATAGTCCATCCTTGTATGGGTATATATTTTTTCCTCAATGAAATAGCTTAACTTTTTCCAAAAAAAAATAATAATAATAAAAATAAAATTAGAATCTCTATAAAGAACACTATGAATGTTCTTTCCTGTAAGAAAAAATAAAATACTTTGTAAATAGAAGCAAGTTCATGAAGTAACAGATGTTTTATGTAAAGACATACAACTGAACCGAATATAACAAGACGTGTGTATGAGTAGTAAGAATTGGAAGCTGGACACTCTTTGAGCTGTTGTCTGTTTGATTCCAATATTTTTGTAAAAGGTGGACTAGTCACAGCCAGAGGTTTCACTGGCTCACTGTATCACCCAGTAGTGTCTCAGAAGCCAAGAGGGATTTCCATTAGATAATGAATTATGAAATGTCTCACACTGGAAAAACTAGTCATCCACTGATGTCATGCTGATTCTAACCAATCCCGAACAAAGCCTCAGCCCTCCTCTTTTGAGAGGTACCAATGTGTGAGTGTACAAATAAGTAGTACAGTATAAAACTTCACAGTGCCAATATCATGAAGAGGAACTCAGACAGCTCCTACCACATGATACAAGAGCCGGCTGGGGAAAGAAAAGGGACCAGAAAGGTAATGCTTTTTAATTCTTACTTCTGAGCTCTTTGCACATTCAAAGTCAGAATGGCTAGGAGGACTTTTTCAACTTATTGGCACTTCTATAGGCATTGTGATTTGTATTTTTTTTCCTATTATTCAGGCAGGTTAATACTGTTTTTAATAGTCTCGGAGCATACAAATAGATTATGTGTTTATACAACCCACTCAGCACATATATACAAGTACATATGCCAAAGAAAAAGCTATTTTTAAGAGTTACATTTGCAAACAGTAAATTCAGGGAACACACACATAGTGACATGCAGGGAGAATCCAAATATTGATAAGTTTCACTTATCCAAATGCTAGTATTAGGACTCCTGAGTTGTTTAGAATCATTAAACTTTTGGTTCTATTTCAGACTGTCTTGTAAAACTTAACTAGACTACAAAATGATTTTGGGTTCTGTGTTGGTGTCTCTAAATAGGTAGATGATGTTATGTATTATAGTACAAAGATGTTTTATTAAACCATTATAATGCAAATACCCCCACTTTCCTCATCCTTTCCCCAGTCCCTACTTTTAAAATATGAGACTTTTAGGTAATGTGGACTAAATTTTATCATTAATAGCAGAATATTTGATTTCCCGGAGCTGAACCCCACACCCCAAAGGTGTTGGAGGGCTTATAAAAGAGAAACTCTTACAAATAGTTGTTTCTGAAAGGGGACAGTGTATGCAATTCAGAAAAGCATCACTACCTGTGCAGACTGTCATTTTCACTTAGTGCCACAGCTTTCCCTCCTTCTTCCCCTTGTACTCAGATCTTATGCTTATAGTAATGATACTTATTAACTCCTTCCATCCAGACTGCATTGCTAGACTAGAATGCTCTGAACACACTAGATGTCAGATATAAGCTGACTGTATCTACAGAAACCAAGAGGGCTTATGTGTGGGAAAGAAACCAAGAGGGAAGGCAAGCTTTAACAGATGGACCCCTTAAAGATACTTCTGCAAGATAAAAGCAATAAGACAGAAAAATGAAAAAAGGGGGGGTGAAGAATTTTTTTTAAAGCCTCAGAAAGGCATTGTTTAAAAATGCACATTTTTCTTGTTCTGTGAACACTAAAATCCATGATGATTTCCTCTATGCTGTTCCTTTCTGGGGGAAAAAGAAACAGTCAAGCAGCTTGTCAATGAATGCATTGGTCAGGACCCGGTAGGGGACAAGCTGAAAAAACTATCATATGACAGAGAAAAATGATTTGCCACTATATTTCAGATTCTTTTCTCCTAGGGCCAGTTATTCAAGTCATAGCACATGTGGGGAAGGCCAAATGAATTTTATATTTTATCTGCGAGATCGGGGCAAGGGGTGGCAGGTTACAGTTTGAGAATGTGTGTGTCCAGGGCAGAAAGGGGCAGCGCAAGAGGAGAAAGGAGAGCACTTCCTGTGACTGAGACTGGCAGAATGCTGCCTGTCCTGTGGATCTTTCAGCACCCTGCAGCATTGCCAGTGGGGAGAAGGAGAGTGTGTTATATGTTCCCAAACAAAAGTTCCTTTGCGCTTCCCTAGGATGCCTGCCTGCATGGGCAACCCTGAACATTTAAATTTGAATGAATGGATGGGTTGGGGTGGGGGGTGGGAATCTCTGGATTCCATCCGGTAGAACAATCAGCTGGCCCAAGCAGCAACTCTGCCTTGGCCCCTCCCCTGACCTCTGCTACCTGTCAGGGCAGCGCACCTCCCCCAGCCCACCTCACCTCCCCCAGCCCACCTCACCACCAGGTGGGCGCTTAGTCCTTGGTTGTGGCTACTGCGGTTAGGTGCAGTGGAGGGGCCGTTGGGGTAGACTTCTCAACCACATCAGCTCTGGGGACTGAGATAGTGTTTGGTTTGTCTATTTCTACCCCCCACCCCCACCACAAAAGGAAGAAGGGGAAGCAAGAGAACTGACTGAGAGAGGAAAAAAAAGAAAAAAGAAAGAAAGAAACTCCCAAACCAGAAGTGAACAAAATTAGGAGAATTTATTGTAGAAGGGAACGTAGAACCCCCGAGAACGGTGATATTTCAAGAGAGGTGTGTGTGAGGGAGCAACGAGCAGAAGGAAGGCAGCCTGTCAGAAAACGGGCTGTCCCTCCCTCCCTAATCACAGCCTTTACTCACAGACAAACTCCCTCCCTCTCCATTCACTCACTCACTTAGGGCCAATCCGTTCTCTCTCTCTCTCTCTCTCTCTCTCTCTCTCTCTCTCTCTCTCTCTCTCCCTCTCCCTCTCCCTCTTTCCCTCTTCCTTTCCCCCCTTTCCCTCTCTCTTCTTTCCCCCTCTCTCTTTCCCTGTCTCTCTCCCTCCCATCCTCTCTCTGTCTCTGTCTCCCCCCACCCTGTCTCTCCCTCCCTCCCTCCCTCCCTCTCTCCCTCCCTCCCTCCTTCCTTCTCTTTTACTCGGAGACAGTCAGAACTCTCCTCCCTGACAGCCACAAACCTACAGCACTGACTGCATTCAGAGAGGGAACCTGCAAACAAAACTTCACAGAAAACTTTTTGCTCTTGTTCCAGAGAATTTGCTGAAGAGGAGGAAGGAAAAAAAAAAAAAAAACCCAAACCCCTGTGCGTGAGTGGGGAGGAAAAGCAGGGCCTTTAAGAAGGCAATCACAACAACTTTTGCTGCCAGGATGCCCTTGCTTTGGCTCAGAGGATTTCTGTTGGCAAGTTGCTGGATTATAGTGAGGAGTTCCCCCACCCCAGGATCCGAGGGGCACAGTGCAGCCCCCGACTGTCCGTCCTGTGCGCTGGCCACCCTCCCAAAGGATGTACCCAACACTCAGCCAGAGATGGTAGAGGCCGTTAAGAAGCACATTTTAAACATGCTGCACTTGAAGAAGAGACCCGATGTCACCCAGCCAGTGCCCAAGGCGGCACTTCTGAACGCGATCAAAAAGCTTCATGTGGGCAAAGTGGGGGAGAACGGGTATGTGGAGATAGAGGATGACATTGGCAGGAGGGCAGAAATGAATGAACTTATGGAGCAGACCTCGGAGATCATCACGTTTGCGGAATCAGGTTGGTGCTGGCATTGGTGGCCGGGAGGGGGGGGCAGGGGCAGTAAAATATGTTTCTTTGACAGTCCTAGGAGGAACTTCTTTTCCCTCCAGCTGGAAACTGCCTGGGAAGGTTATTAGTTATTAGGTGATGGTGGCGGATGGAGGGGAGGTAGAGGAGGGGAGAGGACTCCACAGAAATGGAATTCTGCTGGGTGAGCTCTGCCTGGAGCTGACTAGCTTCCACTTGCTAAACTCAGCCTGTCACACAGGGAACAGCTCTTGGGCCAATCTTGAGCTGGAGGCAGTCTGCGAGGGGCTCCCTTGCCCTGCCTGTGAAACCAGATCTGAGCAGCCAGATGAAAGCCAGGGCATTTTTGGGTGCTTGGGGAGCACAAGCAGCTTCAGGACCTTATCCAAAGTTTTTATTGGGGGTGGGGTGAGAGTGCCCTGGCATTGGGTTGAATGGCACAGATGAAGTCACTGTCTTAAAACAAACCTTCCCCTTTAAAAGTCTCATCTGGGGCCACATCAGAGACAGACACAGGGCACATTTGTTAGGGACAGTCATTTTTACCTTTAGCAACTCAGTCAAACCTCGCACAGCCAACAGGGCAGTTAACATTGAACCAGCAGTCACTTTCAAAACACTGACTTTTACTTTCTGAATTAAAAAAAAAAAAAGCAAAGAGAGCCCCTCCCTCCCCCCAAACCTACTTTTGTTCTTTGTGAAGTTACTAAGACCTCTCTGCCAAGGAATGCAACCTTGACAAAGTGCTTTTAGATACTATGTTGAACTTTCACTCAATCTTTAAGAGGAAGAATTTTAATAAATAGATTCTAATTGTTGGCTCAGGACCACACCAACCTGTTGCTGAATACAAAATACCTATTAGAAGTATGACCCACAGACTTGGAGCCAGTCTGTTTCTCTAGTTAGGGGACCCAGAACTTGCTGTGTGCCTATAAGCCCACGCAGGCTGGGCACACAGATGTGTTAATACTGTGCTTACTTTCATGGTAATGCCAGGCTAAAGAATCAGATCCTTTGCCAGATCCCTTTGAAAGGAATGGCATTGTTTTGTTTGGTAGAGCATATGGCCAGTAAAGTATGTGCAGGAACTCCCAGCATTTTGTTTAAAAGTTTGCCACAGCAGTATAAACAATTAAGGCAACACAGAATTTCCAATCCTGAAAACCTGTTGACTCAGATGTTATGTTTTCAAGAAAGCCATGCAAGACCTGGGCATCCTTTGGGGGAAGGGGGAAACAGATAGCCTGCTGGCTTGGTAGCTGCCCCTGTGGGAGAACCCCTGATGCCCCTTACTGGACAGGTTAGCTCTCTCAGCAGCCTCTTCAGCTTAGGGTCCTACTTTCTTTTCTGAGAGCGTTTTCTTGATGAAGTTCCCTCCCTCCAACATAATCATTATAACTTTATCTTCTGAAGCTTATTGAGGGGAAAAAGTCAAGTTGGACTTTTCAAGTTGCCACCAGATTTTCCTCAAACTTTCATGGTGGAAAGGTAGGAAAGAAAACTTACGATGTTAGGTCATGCCTATGGAATGGATTCTATAGGGCGGTTCCATATGGTTCAGAGGGCGGCTTCTGTCCTGCTTATATATTCTTAAGTACCAGCCCCCACCTATCATGGCCACAATAGCAGCTCCTAGTCAATGGGCTCTAACCACACCATGTAACTAAGTATACCTCTATGCCCTTGACCACTTCTCAATGCACAAGGGATGCTGGCAATATGTCCTTCCTTCTGACTTACTGGACTTGTATAGAAAATCATTCTCTTGGCATTTGGAGACTTGGCAGTGAAAGAATTGGGCCATTTACATTCTTTCTTACTTATGGCTTTCATTTCAGTGCCAGTCATTTTCTTAGTTATATGGGATCTTGTTATTTTTCACTTCTTTGGTGTTTACTTGGAGAGAAAATGAGTTATTTTTTAAAAAGGCAATTCATTGGACTTCACATTGACTAAGCTTTATAATGGAAACTCCTCCTGGTTGAGTGTACATCTTGACTTTTGGTTTATTACAATTGCTTATTTTTCTCATCTGAGAAGTTGCACATAGCAACTTCAAATTGATTTAATATCATTTCATAAATTTAATGACTGCTGTACGGACAATCTTGTCTCCACATAGGGTGCAATGAAAAGCATTTTGTTGCTAATTTTGTCTACTCAGGAAGCATATTTATTCTGTGAATAATTGTAGTGACTACATGAAAATGAATAGCAAAGTTCTGTCTTGTTGCTTTTGGAATAATTCAACTTTAATAACATTCCTACTATGTGCAACATCAAGGTTCTTGGAGATTAGTACAGAGTGTGCATTTTCCCCTTATAACTATTTGCACAGCATTGATATAGTCAGTTAGTGTCACCCTAAGCATAATAGATGTGGCCTCAAGATTCCTCAGTTTAGGGAATGCTTGCTTAAGTTTGGCCTTTTCTCTCCTTGATTATTGAATAAATCCAACAAAGTCATGGCCATAGCGGTAGTAGAATACAAAAACTAAAGTGATATGAACTCTTTTAAGTCAATCGTCCCATGGTGCTCAAATAGAAAGCACCCTAACTTTGTGAAGCTGATGTGAGTTGTTATTGGCTAAGCAGCGGGGAAATAATTCTAAGTCTCACTGATATTTATTCCAGCAAATAAAAAAATGATTTTTTATTTCCAGATATCACCCAAGATTGCTCCCCAAGGTTAGTGTGTTCTTTGCATGGCTTGCCACAAATCCTCAATGTTTATCAGAAGTCCCTCTTCAAAGAAAATGTAGTAGGGAGGAGTAAAGTCAAGCCAAACACTACTTTAATTGTCAGTGAAACGAAAATTGTAAGCCTTCTTGTGTATCTTTTTTATCTTTTCTTGATTTTCAATGGTAGCTAGTCAGTCACTGTACAATACCAATATACTATTGAGTTTGCATTGCTGTCAAGTCTAGGTCCTGAGTCTCATAATTAACTTAGCAATTGATAGCGCTTCCTATAGAAAAGATAGAGAAAGAAAGACAAATGATGCACCAAGAAATGGATAATGCTCCCCTAGAGCCTACATGTTGAAAGCTGCACATAAATCTCCCTTTTTGGAAGATACCAGGTATAAAAGATTTGAGTTAGAAAAGCACAACCTCCCCAAACAGGTATCTAAGAGGACTTGCCCTGATGACTAGGTCCCCCACCCTAAGAAAGGCCACATCAATGAGGTTTCATGTTCCATTCCCCACCCAATTCTGAACTTCCCTGTGAATTAACTTCACTGAACCCCTGAACCTTTTAGAGGGTTACACACTTTCTTCTCGAAAGAATAGGAAAAGACTGGCCACAAGAGGGCGCATCCCAAAGACGTTTGCTCCTTATCAGTTAATCTGGGAAAGGGAATTGTGCCTACTGAAAGCCCCAGTCTGTAGTACCCTAATCTTGGTGATTATCAGTTATCTCCTGCTCCCCTCATCCTCCTGAAAAGTTAGTATTTTATGGTATGGAAGAAACATGACTACCTGTAATACATTAAATGAGACAGAAGGCAAGGAAATGGGGGTGCTGGTGATACATGCGAACATTCCAGAGCTGTATGGAAGGCAGACGAGTGATAAATTTCAAAAGCAAACAAAGCAGAGCATGGAGAAATGTGACCATGAATCATCAGCAATACTGATTTGCTCACGAGTCTCTCCCTAATACGGTCGCCTGAGCTTTATAAAAACATTTGCCATCTCTCTTCATTCTGTTGTGTAGTTTGTCTGCCTTATCAATGCTTTTCACCAGCGACAAAATGACAAGTGACTTCAAACAGGGAGAAAAAGGGCTATTTATTTAACTCCTGGTAGGATGTGGAGTTGAGCTGCAAGGACGTGTTCATTTCTGAACTGAGGCTGTGGAGAGAAATGGTGGGGGGTGAGGTGGAAAGAGATTCCCAGTGGGTGTTGGCCCATGCAGTAGGTGGGTGTACTGAAGAGGGGGTAAGTGAGATGTCAGGATAGAAATGCAGTTTTCACATTTGTAGAACTGGAGTTATACCTTCCCAGGCACTTTTCATGAAAAAACATACTTGTCCTGGCCCCTCTTCTGCTGAAAAATACCTGAGCTATACTCCAGAATTCTTTATACTTGACTGGCTCCTAGGTCCAAAATCAAAAGTGTAATTGTTCTTAGGAACTTTGGGAGAAGTCTGTAAAAGACTCTAGGTTGAATCTTGAGAATTTTTTTGTAGTTTTTTTTAAAGGAACTTAAGGCTCCTTTCTCCCTAAATATTTAACCTTGTTTTTCATCACCATTTAAATGGAAGAGGCCTGGATGATGAATGTTTGTAGCTGAATATTTACAGTTCCATAATGGATCCCAAGGAGAGGTATTAAGGCTAAAAAGTTTATCAAGAGAATTCACACAACAAATCCTATAGCCCTGTTACAGCAGGCAAAGCAGTGTACTGTGGGCCAGAGGAGGAATAACCTTTAAAACCTCACTTGCTGCCTTCTGCAGAAAGCACTGGAAGCAGTCCAAACGCAAAGCTGGTGCTTCAGAGAACACACACACTGTAAGTGGCAGCGTGTAGACTACTGCCACTGGCTCTACCATATCTAGGCACAGGGAAACCTTGATGGTGAGTGGAAAATTAAAGTAACAGACGTGTTTTACAGCAAGGCTTTGCTCCCCCAGTGGAAGGTTTACATGCACTCTATAAACAGCAAGGCTTTCCACATTAACATTACAGACATAATTATTACCTATACGTTAAAGTGCAACACGCTTTAGGCAGGACCCTGGTGAGGAAAAGCAAACCAACCCAAACCAAAACACTGCATGTGTCTGTTGCTTATTTCACTGGAAATTTTCATACGCATACAAATCTGAAATGCTGGACTTTTACATGAGTAGTGTTTGCAGATGTAGGGGAAGGGAGCAACAGGGGCTTGGCTGCTTAAATCTTGGCATGGCTTCATAATTGAGGTATCAAAAAAAAAAATCTGAAAGCAAAGGAGAATACGCTGCAAATACCTTTCCTTCAAGCTTACACAGTCTGTCCAGCCCTCCCACCAGGCAACATTGCAGAGGTATTCCCCATAAGGTACAACATTTACCCTCCCCATTTTCTTCCTGCACCATTTTTCTTTCCCTTTGGTATGTGTCCACGAAGCTCATAGGGGTTTAAGCGATGAGATATTCTCACCCACACGCGTGGGACTATCTTAGTGAATTACTCAGGCAGAGCAGGCTGTGATCCAAGCCTTGCTCACAAGCCTTGGGAAGGAAAAAATAGCAGGGGATGAAAAGAGTATTATCAGAGAGTAGGTAATAAAAGGTTAGCAAAGCAACCAGTTAGCTAGGACACAGGGTAGGAACCCCATGCACACCTGTACAAACTATTATCTATTATCCTACCTGCTCATGCAACATTATGGGAAGCCTTCCATTTCAGGATTTTATAGCACCAGATATGTAAGTCAAACTTGACACTGATTAGAAATTGATCCTAAACATCTCAGCTTTAGGCAAACTTCTATTTTTCAAATCATTCTGCGTAGAGATTTGCAGCTTGGGGCATCCTGACAGCATCTCTGCCGTGTAGCAATCTCTCTAAGGTAATATCGAGATAAAGGGAATAGAATAAACTGACTGGTTATTATTATACCTTCCCTCCCTAGGAAATTTGAGGGTTTTAATATATTTCTGAAACCAACAGCCCTGATAACCGGTCACTCCATGTCAGCTTCCAGCCGTCTCCTTCTCCCCACCCCGTTCTGCAATGAAAGCTAATGTAAAAGGAAAACAAATGCACTGTTTAATAAGTCAGAACACAATAGAACTTGTAAAAGGTACCTGCACATGAGGTAGGCATTAGGAAGACTTGAATCTCTCGCTTCCCCCTGTCCTCCTGAGCATTATGGCAACAGCACTTTCATGAAATTGGATCTCAGTTTTATTTTTTTCCCTGATAAAATATCATGCAATATACAAATAGCAGTTCCAGAAATGGACACCAGGAGAAGGAGGCGACAGGCATGTCAATTAGTAGGGGGAAAATCCAAATGTCAGAAATATGGGGGAGAGAGAAAGCACGCAGGCAGTGGATGCAAGTACAGAGGACCGAGTCTTACTGTTCGGATCATTAAACTGGTGCATAAATCAGCGCCCGTGCCTCCCTGCAAACACATGCTATGCCATGCAGTTAATTATCAGCCAGGCCAGCATGAAAGTCATTTTATGATGACTCTCTGATCCTAATATAACAGCACCTGACAGATTGAGCCCCCTCTAATGAGTACTCTCTTTGTACAATCCTCTCTCAGGAACACTAAATCATTTGCTTCCAAGTACAGCTGTCTGTGAAGAAGGGGTGGGGCTAGCTTATGCAGTACAAACCTGCTCCTGTGACATGAAGGGTGGTCAGTCCTTCGAGCTGTGTGACAGAACACAGGGCCTCAGCCTTGCTGGCCCCTACACAAGGCTATCACTTGTTCCAGGTGGCCAGTTTACCCTCAGTTTTCCTTCACCCTAAAGCGTCTGTGTCCGGTTCTGACTCTGGATTTTATTCATGTCTAGGTGTAGGGCAGCCTGGCCATTCAGTCACCTCACCCTCACCACCTGTTAGATGTGAGTGAGTACAGAACAGAGCCTGGGGTCATGCATTACCTGAAACCCAGTGAGCCTTCCCATCCCAGGCACTAGTCAGTCAGGTGCTCTTTTCTAGAAAAGCAAAACACAACACTGTGCCTTCTGGCTTCTCTAATTTAGCAACTACTATCTTGCTATCTGGAGAACGACACCCTGTGCCATTTAGTATTTCAGAAGCTGTCCTGCCTAGAGACAGAAGGTAACACAGCACGTAGCTTGTTAACATTCTCCACGGGCAGGTCGGGCAGGGCAGGGCGGGGTCAGGCTTAGGTGCCCACACTGGGAGGGAACACTGCACATTCCTCCAGGCCAGTTGTAGAAGCTGGGGACTCCTCCTTCAACCTTTCTCTCTGCCCTCAATCCTCTGGACTCTCCTGCTTTAAAATCTGCAGATTGTTATCATAGATTGAATGATTAAGTTCTGCTGCAGTCTTTCCCTTTCTTAAAAAAAACGAACAGCAAAAAACCCACCCATTCTTAGCAAAGGGGAACATAGAATTCACTTTTCAAAAAAAAAAGTCATCATGCTTTCTAAAATAAGACATCTTTCCTCTCTCTCTCTGCTCCCTGCTCTGGTGTTCTATCGAATCATAAACTTCTCTTTGATTATTCATTTAAACTCCTCCCAGAGACATGAGGTCGGAGTCAGAGGAACTCCTGGCCACCAGCACCATCACTGTGGCAGATTACAGAAAGATGCTGAGAGCCTTTTGTGCCCATGTGCAGCCCTCCTTGGCCCTTGCCTTTGTGAATTTACCACTCTCATGATCACAGTGTACAGAGTGTGTTAAATTAAGAACAGAATCGACAGTGCGCCATGCACAGAAAAGCCTGCCTTCTGCTGCAGAGAACTTGAAACTGTGCCTAAAATTTATAGTACCGTAAACATCTCAGGGCCTTGAGTGATAAGTATGGCTGGATTTCCGTTAGCTATAGAAATCCAGGCAGGGAGATCCTCCTGGGGAGTTGGACTTTTAAGAGGAACTTCTTGAAGATTGTTCCCAGATTTATATGAGGGATCCATGTACAGCCATCACTTGTAACTAGGCACAAGGTCAGGTGAAAGAGGATGTGCTTCTGTATAATTCCAAGTACTAACCATGGAGGGGGTGGGGAAAATACTTGAGTAATCAAAGAATTCTAGTCTGGACACCTGCTTCTTATAGTACATGATGCTGCATAATAAGTATCCAGGTGTTTATGGACAGGCAGGGAAATAGATGGCTTTCTAATTTTAGAGTTAGGTACAACTGAGGTGTTGCTGAATCCACCTTCCCCAAGGAAGCAGGGATTTTCCTTTCAGGAGCAGTTGCTATTTAAAGGGACAGGGATTCAGACATAGGAGGTGGCTCTCTTAATTGAATATAACTCAATGCTAAGGCTACCTGCATTTGTAAATTAGTAATCTAGTAACTGCCTATTCTGCTAAACACTGCCCTATGGAAATAAAGGAGATAGTTAAGACCTCAGATCTCAGGCATCTTAAACTAGACTGGCAGGGGGTTGGTGGCAGAGGAGACAGGGAAGGAAGGCTTCTAGAGGAAGTGTAATCTGTTGCTAAGGTCAGCCACTACTAAGGGTGAAGTGTTGGGAATGGGACAGGAGCCTTCAGGGCAGCAAGAACAGCAGGTGTCTGCCTGCAGGTGAGAGGCAGCATGTGATTCTCAAGCCTTTAAGGGAATACCTTGTACCTGGACAATAGAGAACACAGGACTGCATGAGAGCTGGAGTTGAAGTCAGGCAAAGGCTGGGGCAGAGCTCATGGACCTGGGGAGTTTCTGTGAGAGCAAAAGACAATCAGGATAGGGCTTAGAAGAGGGGCTGGCATGACCAGATCCCTCTTTGGGGAAGATTCCTTTAACTGCTTAATGGAGAAATGGTTGGCGGTTTCTAAATTACTAATTTACAAATGGAGGTAGCCCGATTCAATGCTGCAAAGGCCATATATTGAGAAGTCTGATGTACTGTCCAGAAAAGAGGTGACACAGGAGTGAGGCAGAGTGGTGACTGGGAAGAGGAGGCTAGCTCAGAGAGTGCTGTCCATGCTGACCCACACAGCGAGTCAAGGGAGAGGGTGTTTGCCTCAGTGTGTGAGAATCTTTTCAGAAGTCGCTGGAGCTTACATAGTGTTTTCACTTGTGTCATCCCATTTGATTCTTCTCAACTTGTGAGATAACAGGTCAGATGTCATTCTATCATTCCCATTTTATAGACGATAAAACTGAGATTAAGCAATCATTCAACGGACACACACCCCAGGCTCTCTTCATTGTAGAGTGAGGGTTGGCAAACTTTTTTCTATAAAAGGCCAGTGAGTAAATATCTTAGGCTCTCTGGTGCAGTCTCTGTCATTACTACTCAACTCTGAATTGTAGTACAAATGTGGCTGTGGGCCACAAACAAACAAATGAGAAAGCTGTATTCCAATGGAACTTTATTTACAGGTGCTAAGTTTAAATTTCTGATAAATTTAGCATGTAACAAATTACTGTTTTTCTTCAACCATTTAAAAATGTAAAAATCATTCTGAATTTGATGGCCCTAGTGAATCAGATTTGACCCATGTCATTTGCTGACCACTGTTTGAGATGATGAACAACAAAACATTCTTGCTTGCCTGGAATTCATTAGAAGATGCAAACTCTGGAATTAACCTTGTTCCTGTTTTCTCTTCTGCTGTGTTTTATCTTCAGGCACAGCCAGGAAGACACTGCACTTTGAGATTTCCAAGGAAGGCAGTGACCTGTCAGTGGTGGAGCGTGCAGAAGTCTGGCTCTTCCTGAAAGTCCCCAAGGCCAACAGAACCCGGACCAAAGTCACCATCCGCCTCTTTCAGCAGCAGAAGCACCCTCAGGGCAGCTTGGACATGGGAGACGAGGCCGAGGAAGTGGGCTTAAAGGGGGAGAGGAGTGAACTGTTGCTTTCGGAGAAGGTGGTGGATGCTCGGAAGAGCACGTGGCACATCTTTCCTGTCTCCAGCAGCATCCAGCGATTGTTGGACCAGGGCAAGAGCTCCCTGGACGTGCGGATTGCCTGTGAGCAATGCCAGGAGAGCGGTGCCAGCCTGGTACTCCTGGGCAAGAAGAAGAAGAAAGAAGAGGAGGGGGACGGGAAGAAGAAGGATGGAGGCGACGGAGGGGCGGATGAAGAGAAGGAGCAGTCGCACAGACCTTTCCTCATGTTGCAGGCCCGGCAGTCTGAAGACCACCCTCACCGCAGGCGTCGGCGGGGCTTGGAATGTGATGGCAAGGTCAACATCTGCTGTAAGAAACAGTTCTTTGTCAGTTTCAAGGACATTGGCTGGAATGACTGGATCATCGCTCCTTCTGGCTATCATGCCAACTATTGCGAGGGTGAGTGCCCGAGCCATATAGCAGGCACATCGGGGTCCTCGCTCTCCTTTCATTCGACCGTCATCAACCACTACCGTATGCGGGGCCACAGCCCCTTCGCCAACCTCAAATCGTGCTGCGTGCCCACCAAGCTGAGACCCATGTCCATGCTGTACTACGATGATGGGCAGAACATCATCAAAAAGGACATTCAAAACATGATCGTGGAGGAGTGTGGGTGCTCCTAGAGCCCCACAGCCGCCCAGGGGAAGGGAACTAGAGGTGTCCAGAGAAGACAATGACAAAATGAAGAAAATTTTTTAAGGTTTCTGAATTAGATAAGCAGAAAAACATAGAAATTAAAAACACAAAAAACAAAAACTAAACTAAAAAAACAAAACCTGATGAAACAGATGAAGGAAGATGTGGAAAAAAAAAATCCTTAGCCAGGGCTCAGAAATGAAGCAGTGAAGGAGACAGGGATTGGGCGGGAAAGGGAGAATGGTGTACCCTTCATTTCTTCCGAAATCAAACTGATGACATCAGTTGTTTAAGTGGGGTATTGTCCTCTCCCCTCCGCCTGCAGTTCTCTTGCGAGCCTCAAAGTCTACTTGTCTTGTCTAGTCTGCAATAGACTAGCACAACCCAAATAATGTCTAGAAAGCCATGAGTTTGAAAGGGCCAGTCCCACCCAGTTACCCAGGTCATAAGTATGTCTGTGTGACACTATTTCTGTGTATATCAGCAGACACACACACACACACACACACACACACATACATACACCACACACACACATCACACACAAATGCATACAGGTAAAAGAACAACAGTGTGCAGGTGGTCACACTTTCTTTTTCTGCACCACTTTTGCAACAAAACAAAAACCAACATCAAAAAATTGAGAGCAAGAATGGAAAGAGTGAAAGATCAAGGAAAAAAGAATACCAAGTTACATTTCGTTAAGGTGCTTATGATCTTAGAACTATGCAACCTAATAGGTTTGAAACTGTTTACCTGAGAGAGAACAAAAAGAGAGACTTTTTTGTATTGGAAGTAACCTGATTAATTTTTATTTTCTTCAAGGAGAGATACTTGAAAGGAATATGTTTGTCCATCTGTTGGATCCAAACATTTCTATATTTTGTAAATGTTGTTTTTTTTTATCGTTTACTATTTGCACTACAATGGTGTTTGACCTGTCTAATCCTTATTTAACAAGTATTTTCTTTGGGTGGGGGTGGGGGTGGGGTTTAAGAGCTGCACTTAATGTGAGCTATAAAAGAACTGCTACAGCACACAAAATAGCTATTTTTATTATTATAATTATAATTATTATTATTATTTTGTACCTTAAAAATAGACACATACACCAAAGACATTTGTGTGAGCCTTTAAACAGTCTGTCTGTGGTTGGTATCATTCACCATCAATGAGTCAGGGGTTGAGATTCAAGGTTGGGTAGGGTGAATTGTGTTCAGGCTTAAAAGCCCTGAGAAGTTTGGATTTTGACTCTTTTTACATCCATGAAACAGGACATTGCATACTGGATGTACAGTAGTTGTACACTGTTGGAGATCAAGTTCATGAGACTACATGCTTGTATGTGTATATATACATTGCTTGTGCATATGCATATCTGTGTGTATATATACATGTATTGTACCATGTCCATACACATTTTAAGCACTTCAGGCTGTCATTTTTTAATGTTCTTAAAGCAATGAATGTTTGTGTGCAAAACACAGTATTTTTAAGAAGGATAGGTGATGGGGTTTTTGGGGTTTTTGGTTTTTTTTGGGTTTTTTTGCTTTTACTCTGAACTAGGTGGGCACATTTCAAAAATTTGGATGGGAAAAAGTTTGAAAATTCCAGAAAATATTCAGCAAAGCCCTCTTTAAATGTACAGGGATCAAATTCCCTCCTTCCTTTCTTGCCTGCACCCCCTGCCCTACAAGTTATCCCCTGTGGGGAAAACAGGATGTTAATCAAAACTGTGGGTTGATTTTTTTCAATTTATATTTAATCTCTTGGAATCAATCTTAAATCAGAAACTTTTTCAGAAAAAAAATAATTGTTAGGCCAGAATAAGAGAGTTGGTTTTTTTTTTTTTTTTGATGACTTAAGGCCTAATTGTGAGAGATGTTACTTGCAGCAGCTGGCCTAAATAATGTTTTTGTTCCTAATTAAGAGATAAATAATTTGGGGGAAGGTGTTTAAGAGAGTGGGAGTAAAGAAGAGAACAGTTAGGAGGCAGGGATGAGGGCAGTTGTACAAATCTCTAATATTTTAATTTGCAGCCAAACTCTTGATGTGTAAGTTTGTATGTATTGTGCAGATGAAAAAAAAGGAAAAAAAAGCCTCTGTCTTATAAATATCAAAGTATATGCTTAAAGCTAAGTTTCTAATTTATTCCAGTATTTTGCTTGCATAGAGCAGCTAAGTTATTCATTTATATGCTGTTTAAAATACAGAACCTTATTTTTACTGACTTGTTTGATGTTTGCAAAACATTTAAAAAATTTTTAAATTCTAATTGAAAAAAATTACATTTACCTGTGTTTTCTAAAATGTTGAAGCTTTTAGCCTTATGTCAATTCATAGATTAAAAAAGTAATTGTAGGAAAATGAGCTGTCAGTGTGAAGCTAAATATTATAAAAATGGTTTAGCTCTTCTTAAAAATTATATTAAGTCAGTATAAAATAATATTAGGCTGTGTGTAGGCAAATTACTTTTTCTCATTACTGGGCAAACATACTTATTATATTCTACAGGCCCACCCTGTCTTATGCAAGAAACACATGAACGACACGAGAAGCTTGAGTGTAGATTCTAACTGTTTGTCCATTGACCTTGGATTTCTTGCCTGTGGGCCTGGTGAGGAACCTTAGGGAGAGGGATAGATAAACATGTTCCACTCCACCAGTTTTCATGAAGAAGTCTGAGCATCTTTTGAACTGCTTTTTCTTTGGTATGGAAACTAATACTGGAACTTATGAGAAGAGTGTGAGGAGAAAGTCCTAGTTCACAGTGCAATAGCAGAGATGTTGACCAGGAATTTACAAAGATAGCTAAGTGTAGTTCCTATTCATCTCAAATAAATCTGACATCTTTTTAAGTCCTTTAAGTCCTAGATGTATTGGAGGCTGGTGACCACAATAATTAAAAACGCAGTGAAATGAAATTCCACATGGCAATATTTTGATTGGATATTAAATGATTTGGTGGTCACACACCCACAAACTTTAACCTCATTTCATTAAATTTATATGACTTTGCAATAGAATTATAAATTACTTCCATTTTCAACAGGATTGGAAGATTTACTTTGCCTTCTTTAACAATCTCAGAAGATACAAAGTCTTATGAACAACCACGCTTTTCACATAGCTACATGAGGCCAAAATGAAAAGCTTTTAAATTCTATCATCTGGGTTCTTCATAGTAAGTTTCACCTGAGACAAGGGTAGCTCTATCTAATCTTACTATCTTTTCACTCTTTCTCTAGAGCTGAAGTGCAGGCTCTTAATTATCTGCCAACACTAATTCTAGAAGCTCTGAAAAGCACCTGTCTTCAATATCTCTTAAAAGAATACGAAACGTTTTATAGGCTGAATTAACACTTTCTTTTTTTCCAAAAAAGTAAGGCAAGTTCCAGCACACTGAGTTTAGATTTTCTTCTCCCAAGAAGACCAGCCAATTCCATGTTCATTTAAGATTGATTCCACGCTCCATTTTCAAGGAGCGTCCTTGCATTTGCCTCAAAGGTAGAGCAAGTAAATTTGTGCCACCCTTGTAGGATTGAACTTCAAGAGGTGGCTCTAAAAACAGAGCAAATATGCCTCAGTTGTATTAAATATAGATTCAAATTACCATGTTCACTTGAAAATATGACTTCCTGTGGACCTTTTGGCAACTTCCCTTTTCAATGTAGAGAAAACCTACATAATAAATGAAACTTGTAGATGTGGGCAGAAGTTTGGGGGTGGACATTGTATGTGTTTAAATTAAACCCTGTATCACTGAGAAGCTATTTTATGGGTTGGAGAAAATGAATGCTTAGAAGCTGTTCACATCTTCAAGAGCAGAAGCAAACCACATGTCTCAGCTATATTATTATTTATTTTTATGCATAAAGTGAATCATTTCTTCTGTATTAATTTTCTATGGGTTTTACCCTCTATTTAAATGCTTTGAAAAACAATGCATTGACAATGGGTTGATATTTTTCTTTAAAAGAAAAATATAATTATGAAAGCCAAGATAATCTGAAGCCTGTTTTGTTTTAAAACTTTTTATGTTCTGTGGTTGATGTTGTTTGTTTGTTTTTATTTTGTGGTTTTTTTTTGCATACTACTTGCAGTTCTTTAACCAATGTCTGTTTGGCTAATGTAATTAAAGTTGTTAATTTATATGAGTGCATTTCAACTATGTCAATGGTTTCTTAATATTTATTGTGTAGAAGTACTGGTCATTTTTTATTTACAATATGTTTAAAGAGATAACAGTTTGATATGTTTCCATGTGTTTATAGCAGAAGTTATTTATTTCTATGGCATTCCAGCGGATATTTTGGTGTTTGCGAGGCATGCAGTCAGTATTTTGTATAGTTAGTGGACAGTATTCAGCAACGCCTGATAGCTTCTTTGGCCTTATGTTAAATAAAAAGACCTGTTTGGGATGTAATTTTTACTTTTATTTTTATTTTATGTCTTACTCATTGATTTTCCAAGATCAATTTTGCACACATATTGCCACACCCTTTGCTGGAAAACAATTTTGTTTCTACTGTAATTACCAAGAAGAAGAGGAGAAACAGTTATGAGATGAAGCAGAAAATCAAGTGAGAGAGCACAAGCAGAAAAAGAATCTCTATTGCCTTGACAGAAGTTTCTAAAAGGCCACAATGCCTGAGCCAGCAATATTTTATCTTTTATTCATTTTGTTAACTTCCTGTTTCTCCAACTGTAGTGGTGAATACTTCACAGGAAATAGAGATATTCTTTCTTTTCTCTTCCTTCCTTCCTTCCTCCTTTTCTTTCTGGCTAGAAAACTGGAACTACATAAAGCAACTAGAACTACAGAACCACATACATGTGAAAGGAGCACAGTCCCAGTACCAGGACCTCAATAGTCAAGCATTCATTGATTATTCAACCTTTTCTTCTATAGTTTTTGCCTGGAATCTGTGCCCATCCCTGAGGTCATATGGAAAAAAATAATTCACATAAATCCCTGTGTGACCCGAAAGGTTCCTAAACAAGACTTCATTTGATATTTGCTTAACTGCCCTGCATAGAAAATGTTACCCAAGCTTTTGTAGAGGAATTCCAGGCACAGTTAAGTGACATTAATTGAGATTAGATCCCAAACTA